AAATGGCTGTGGTTATGAGATTTGTGAACGATCGGGGAGAAGTGATCGAGCGATTTATGGGAGTCGTGCACGTTAGTGACACTTCGGCACACTCTTTGAAAAGTGCAATTGATGAATTCTTTGCCAAACATGGATTATCACTTTCTAGACTTTGAGGTCAAGGTTATGACGGGGCTTCCAACATGCGTGGTGAGTTTAATGGTCTTAAGCTCTCATTTTAAAAGAAAATAAACAAGCATACTATGTTCATTGTTTGCTCGCCAACTTCAATTAGTGGTTGTAGCAACTTCAATTGAGAATAGGGATTTGGGGAATTTTTTTGATTATCTTGTAGAATTGTGAATCTTGTTGGAGCTTCGTGTAAAATGATGGATGCTATTCGGGAAAAACATTATAATGATGTTGCACGACGTATAGAAAGTGGTGATATTTCTACAGGGACAGGCAAGAATCAAGAAACGAGTTTAGCTCGACCGGGTTCTACACGGTGGGGATCTCACTATAGGACAATCAACCGAATTTTGGAAATGTGGGATGCGGTACAAGATGTTTTGGATGGTATTATGGAGGATGCCACGGATTTTTAAAGTCGAGGCGTTGCTAAAGGTTTGCTTGATAAATCAACAAGTTTTGAATTTGTATTCATTTCTCATTTGATGGTGACGATATTAGCAAGCACAAGCGCACTGTCAGCGGCCTTACAAGAAAAGACTCAAAATACTGACAATGCTCTTGTTTTGATTAAATCGGTCAAGAAAGATTTGAGGAAGTTGAGGGAGAATGGTTGGGAGGATTTATTGATGAAAGTCACAACATTTTGTTCTGAAAAAGGTATTTCTAACATAGAAGATCCTATGCCGGGTCGGCCTAGTAGATCTCAAAGAAAAGTGGATGATCAACTAAAGACTTATTTACATCATTTTCGACGGGAAATCTTCTTTCAGGTACATATGTTTCTTTAATTTCATATTAATAAATAGTTTATCATTTATTATTATATGAATAATTAGCTTATTTTCTAATTATATTAAGTTATTGATCGTATTTTACAAGAGATAGATAGTCGTTTTGAAGAGTTGAGTTCAGAACTTATTCAGTGCATAGTATGTCTTGATCCTAGAGATTGTTTTGCAAGCTTTGATGTTGAAAGACTACTCCGCCATGATTTTGATGATGAGGTCAAGCTAAAAGCAGAATTGAATCAGTCTCACGATGTAGTCACAACATCTGAGCGTACATTTTTCTCTGGTCTTCAAAGTATTGGAGATCTTGCAAAGAGAATGGTTGAGAGAAAATGGCACACTACCCTCAAGTTAGTTTATCGGCTCATCGAGTTGGCTCTAGTTTTTCCCGTCGCGACAGCTACCGTTGAAATAGCCTTCTCCTCGATGAAAATTATCAAGACTGATTTGCGTAACAAGATGGGGGATGAATTTCTGACAGATAGTTTGGTGTGTTACATTGAAATGGAACTCTTTGAAAAAATTGAAGATGAAGTTATTTTACAGAGGTTTCAAAAGATGGCGTCCCGAAGAATACAGTTACCGCCTGTCAAATCATAGTCATTCTTCTCCCTCGGTCGGAAGTTAGGTTGCTTTCTTGTTTTAATGTTTTGTATAACATTATTTAAATGATATTTTAAATAGTTTTTGTTTGGTATTATTGTGACAAAACAAATTTGTTGTGGTCTAATGAAAAATTGGCCATCCCTTTATTCGGATTCTGGTTTCGCCACTGCCCACAGGGGAATACAAAAAATTCATTTATTCAGTGGAACACTCACAACAATAAATACATTATTTCCATCACCATCAACGAAGACACAACATGGCTCCACTTAATTAACCATAATCTTATTCAACATTCAAATTATAGTATAATATTATTAATCCTTCATATATATATATGGAAATCAAGCAACCCTTGATTAATTGTGAACAGGAGGATATGTTCTTGGTGGCACATAATCCAGGTAAAACGACTCGGCTTCATCTTCTTCCTCTCTTATTTTCCTGTGAGCCACTCTAAATGCATACTTATACTTTCCGGACACGTGTCCATTTATCACACCATTCACCATAATATTCTTGTCAAGTCCATTTTCCTACAAACAATTATTGTTAATACATTGACAAATTAATTAAGCTGGGATCAATAAGGTTTAATATTCGTACTTTTTTTTAAAAAAAAATGTAAATAAGAAGGCCATTAATTAACAAAAAATACGTACCTTTCGGGTCGAATATTGCCCGAATTCGTGCTCCGGGTCTCCTTGGGGAACGCCAGAACTTGGAGCATAGCAAGCATGCAGAAAAAGGATAATAAGTAACACAATAAAACATCCGGTTGACATTTGATGCATCTAAAAAATGTACTAAATAATGTTCAAATAAAAATGAACTGCAAAATTTAGATAGAAATTTGCAAGATTGAAGGTTTCATTGATATGAACATCTGTGTGATGAAGTGCAATATTTCTGTTAGTGATTGTGCCAAGAAACACGGAGAATATAATTAATTAATTTATTTATTTAGAGTTAAATTGGTCGTAGGTATCTCTGTTTTGCATGCAATTGCATAAATGGGGGGACCCTTTTTTCGCGTAATATGTAACTATATATGTTCATTTCTAGATTTTAAAAGAAAACAAAAAAAATTATAATGAATTTTTTGTGCTCAACATTATACCATATAAATAAATCATTGATGAAATTACCCAACGCATATGAAAAATCTTGGTGCTTGCTTCTCTTTTCTTCTAGTTTTTTTTTTAATGAACAATTTGAAGAAAACTATTATATTTATAAATTGCTTCTCTTTTCTTCTATTATTATTATTATTATTATTATTATTATTATTTGTTAATCTTTTTTTTTTTTGGGTACAATATTATTTGTTAATCTTGACTTAGTGGATTTGTTAGATCGAATCAAATATTTATCCCCTAAAAGTGGCCATGCAAGAAGGTGACACTCGAGTGAATTTAGCAACCAATCCCATTTTTTTGTGTGCCTGATAACTTTTTTGCTCTTTGGACTCATAATTCCAATATGGCAATTTACATTTTACCATCTCTCAATAGTAGTTGATTTTTTGCTCTTTTTTCTTCTATATTTATCTTTTTCATATTCCAATTTGGCAATTTGCTATCTCTCAATAGTTATGGATGTAAGAGGAAATGAGTCATCAGTACACAAAAATTAAAAAAAAAAAAATAAAAATAAAAAAAAAATGTTATATTTCAAGAGAAAATTCTACGGTAATATATCGCAATGGAAATTCTAACTGATATTCCAACAGAAACTCCAGCGGAAATATTCAGTTGGAATACGTTTTTCATTAGAATTTTAGATGGAATTTGATGATTCCAACAGATATATTCCTGTAGGAATTTTCGTTGAAATTTTTATTTTCACCAACAAACAACAATAACAACATAGCCTTTTAGTCCCAAGCAAGTTGGGGTTGGCTAGAGATAAACCCAAGAGAACCAATGGTTTCTCATGTGTTTCATCTTCATAGAACGGCTAAGTTTTACGTTGGCTCGCCAAGCCTATCACAACCCTCCTTCTTTACCAGGGCTTGGAATTTTTGTTTTCATCCCCGTTGAAAAATCTACCGCTGAAATCGTCAATATCTTATGAAAATTTCAATGTAAAACACAATCCAACGGAATATTTTTGTTGGAATTTCCGTTGGAATCCATTGAAAAATTCTAAAAGAAGTAACAGTATTGAAATATTCGTTGGAATAATCCTATTGAAATATATTTTCGTAGGAATTTCAATCACTTTCTTATAGTGCATAAATGTAATTACTATTTGGCATATTACTATCTCTCAAGAGACGTGGAAACCTCTTATAACATGTGGAGTTTTATTTTTCCCCATAAGAACAAAGAATTAATAAAATTATTACAACGTCGAGAATAGACCAAGTGACCAAGACTGTGTTTGGTAAAACTAGCTAATAAGCTAGCTGATAGCTGATAAACTAGTTTATAGCTTACAAGTAAATTTTCAACTTGTAGTTTATGACATATAGCTGAAAAACTAGCTTATATGATAAAAGTGTTTGGTGAAATTATCTGATAAACTAGCTAAAAGTAAATTTTTCAGCGAGCTTCTTTCAAAAGCTACCCAAAGAAACTTATGAAATAAGCTCAAACGCTCGTACTACCAAATAAAGCTTATTTAAATATAGGAAACTTATAAACTAACCAAATAAGTTATAAGCTAACTTAGCAAGAACCAAAAAAAAATAAAAATAAAAAAAAAAGAGTGCTGTAAATGGAAACCAAAAGAAATCTAAAACATACAGCTTTGCTCTGCCTAACTCCATGTTGGAAGAAAATCTGTTTGTTGTTATCATGAAGGATTAATTGTGGTACATCTCAACATCAAAAACTTGGATGCGTTCGATTTGTCTCCTTCAACCCCAACATTCTTGATACTTGCATCCAAACTATGTCAACACTCCACACTTTTAATTTATTTTTTTTTATTATTTATTTATTTTCAATTTATGGCTTCAAATCCTTCAGTGGCAATTAATGCAACACCAGAGATTATGTAGACTGTTTTTGAGCTCATCAAACTCAAATAAACAGTTAAAACAACTGCATTCTTCAAGTTGTAGAGTTTGCATTTTGCAACACTCAATATCCAAGCCAACTGCAAAAGCCATTCCCTAATGAGCACACATAACCTTGGAGAAAATAGAAACTATATTTAAATTACTCAAATATCTCAAAGAGCCATACATCTACCATTCTAGCAATTAAACAGGGCCAACATCTCAAATTTTCACTACCCAGTGAGTAATAAAAATGGATACTACACAACAAAATAAATAAAACGCGCGCGGCTCCACAATGCGTGAGACCCCGTCGCCCTTAAAAATCAGTTAATGCTGACCTAGCAATGCCCGTCAGGAACAACTATCTTCACAGATCGAATCCCAAATTAGCAAAACGAATCACCGCCCAAGAAGACCTTTTTTTACGCAACAGTGCCTGTAAAAAACCATAAACACCACAAAATCAGCAAAACAAGTATACCCCAGAGGATAAATCAATCTCTTTGGTAAAATACGAAAACTCACTATGGAAATCATTACGCGGCCTCTTGCTGGACACGACATCAGAGAATGAGTCAACCAGCTGTCCAGCCAGGCTACTCGGGTCGTCAATCAGCGTCTGTATGAATGTGTTGACCACCCTACGCTCCTGCTCAGTCGACCTCAGGCTGAACCACGTCAGCAGCTTCAGCCTAAAATCTTTCTCGATATAGCCCTCGCACTCCATCCACCGTATGATCTTCACACAGTACTCGAAATTTTCATCCAGGCTGCCCGAGTCGTTAGTCATGGTGCTGTCCGAATCCTGAATCTCACCATTATTACTCGCAATACTATGCTTCTTCCTCTTCACAGAAAAGGCCAATCCAGAGTCGACAGCTGGCACCTCCCCATGCTTCCGCTGGATCTCATGAGACATGGCATCATCATCTGCCTCCGACTCCACAGGAGGTGTAAACTCCTCATTCAGGTCAGGGACAGATGCCACGTTCAGGTCCAGCTGGCGGGAGACCGAGGACGGTTTTTCCTCCCGTGCCTCGAGCTTGATCTCGTCGTGGGGCCCACATATTCTATGGGCATTGGTCCCACAGGAGCACGGATCTCGATCCAGGGCCATCCTCAGGATCCTGCCGAGGTCCCGGACTTTGAACCCCGGGTCGGATTCCACTTCCGCCTGGCCCCCGGGTAGGTGTTCGGTGCTGGTGCTGGGGCCGGGGGCATTTATGTCATTTCCAAAGTCCTTGTGCATGACCTCGATGCTTGATGTAAAGCACTTCACTTCCGAGTGCCCGAAGTCGCCAGATTCTGTGTACGATATAATGCGGATGGAGTACTCCGTGCAGGGCTGCAGATTGGATATCCAAATCCTTCTGTGGTTCCGAGGGAAGATAGAGGCAGGCTCTTTTGAGTAGCTCTCGTCCTTTGATTTGCAGTACCAGAGTTTGTAGCCCTTGATGGTGTCGTCCGAAGAATTTGATAGCTCGATCAATAATACGACAATTGACGATGGTGTAACTTCCTCGAACAAAAATTTGCAGGCCGCGGGAAGTGAACCCTCTGCCAGAGAGAGAAAGCGGTGAACTTGAGCACGAGAAGATAATATCGCAAGTTCATTAATTGCAAAAACTACTCCTGAAGTTCAGGCCAATAACAAAAGGATTAAGCCTGTTCTCCGAAATTACGCATTCGCCTATTGAGAGTGCAGAATTGTAAAACAGATAAAAAATATGGGGTGATTTAAAATATTACTGGATTTTGTTTATTGATTTCTTGGTGATTAGAGAGAGCTGCGGGGGGAATTCTTGTAATTAACACTAATTACCAATTAAATTGGTTGAAGAAGTAGACTTTGAAGCTATCAATTCATCAGCTTTTTCAACCGCAAGGGAGCAAAGCTTTTGCACATCGACTGCTGCAGAGAGTCTGCTGACGATACCTCGGGCCATCTTGGCTGAAACCCCATCTACCGGGCCCACCTCGGTTTCCAACTTGACTTTGGCTTCTTTAATAAATTCATGGAGTTCTTTAAACCTGGAAGTCCCATCCAGAAGCCTGTAACTTAAGAATATCCTATAACACAACACGTCAACACGCCGGGCATCCTTAGCTATAATTAATTGCTTCTTCCAGCATCTGTAACAATGGTATAAAAGGAGAAAGACTCCAGTGAAAATCAAGTTAAAAGGCTTATCCTACTCATATAAACACCAGTATTAAACAACAAGCAAGTTATTTCTCAACATTTGTCATTAAGTTGTTATAATTTCATTTGAGCAAAAGTACAAACCAGAGGTGACTTTGGTCAGATCACCGAGAACAAGAACAAGATAAAACTGCACATGCAACTTTTGTAAACTTCAGAAACTTCAATAATTTTTCTCAGTGATCCAATTCTGTATAAATGGCAATGTCGGTTTGAATACATAAGCAGGAAAAAAAAAGAAACAAAAAGAACAACGGAGGACAGAGATGGCACTATCAAGGGATTAAAAAAAAAATTAAAATAAGGTAAATACCCAAGTATCCCAGAGACTTTGCCACACGAAGCACAACAGTAGCTTCCATCCAACTGCATCAACAGACCAAGGTCAACCACCCCCACCTTACCACGTTGTAGGGCACACTCAATGTGGCAAGACAATCCACATGCATCTCCGAGACCAGATTCCGATGTGCATTCCAACCAAAGGCTCGGGTCCTTGTTGTCATCAAATAAATGGCAGATGCAGCAAGAGCACCTTTTGCAGAATGTGTCATCCGCTGAAAGTGTCGCCCGGCAAGCGGAATTCTTACAGATCCACGAATTAGAAGGATTCAAATCGACACATGGCTCCTGGCTGGGAGGAATCCGGATGGGGTTTTCCCCTTTTCTCTGTTGTTTCTTGAACTGGGGCTGCCGATCTTTGGGGCTTGAAGATACTTTCTTGACTTCGTAAGCCATTGAAGTTTTCCTAAGGGCCTTTGTAAGTTGTTCGGCCATTTTGAAGCTTTTGTTGAAGGTGGTTGCCTCTTTAAGCGATAAAGTGACTCAGAATTAGTATCTCTCGGGGGCCACTCAAGAGTCAATTAGTAGTTATGGAAATGTTGATGCATCATAAGGGTTGCCTCCATTCTACTGCCCTATAGCTTTTGCGCACAAGATGGAGGTACTGACCACAGGAAACATAAAAACAATTGTGTTACAGAAGATAAAAGGCAGTGGGATGAAAAAAAATTAAAGCTTTGCATGCTGTACAAGAGGCAAAAGATCAGAGATATATAATTATTTAAAATAATGTCACAAATTCATGCTCCTGTCCCCAATACAACACCAACTACAGGTTTTCCATTACCAATTGCCTTTTGGGTTTACGAAATCCATATCTCTCCGTAGTGATATCCACCTAATTATTCATTTTCATCACAAAAGGACAAATATTTGAAAGGCAGCCCCACGTTGAATGCCCTGAAATAGCACTTTCTGACAAACCCGCCCCTTCTTACCACTTGGTTTCTATTTATATGATCTTCTGAGGATGTTTCAGAAAAACTACCAAAAGGAATTCTTTCAAAACTCAGCAAAAGGTGATCCAGTTAATCCATCAAACTCCTACTTGTCTAATATACACTTATACAGTGTTATTTATGGCAGCGAATGGTGGTTTGCCAAAATTCAGCCAAGGTGGCTGCAGTAGCGGCTATGGCGCCACCATAACTTCCCTCTTTCACAAATTCATTATGGCAGATTGTCAAAAATTAGCCACGCCATACCGCCATGGCCGCCGTTTGATAACACTGCACTTATATAGGCATACTAACCACATTATGTTAGTGTACACATATAAACATTATGTAATGGATAACAAAATGATTTATAAGCAGTGGAACATGTATTCAGTAATTGATTCACAGATGTGCACTGTTATATCCTAAAAATCGTATCCAACACTGAATGAATCGCAACAAATAGGCAAAACAATGAGAAAATCAGCTTAAAACAAACCATTGAAATTCATTTGGTATACCACATTGTAGCAGAAGGAATGTACCTTGGAAAATATTTCTTCCAAATATCCTCCCGAGTAATATCAGCCTAATGGACCGGGTCAGTGATGCCCATATTATCAACCAAATACGAATTTATCCATAAACGGGTTCCTTTCATCACCAATGAACAGCAATAACTGTTTCAGACAAGTTAAACCCACCTAACTTGCTAGAAAGCATAGATTTTCATGAGCAAACACTTTCTCTTACAATCAAGATCAATATACTACATTTCAACAAAACTCAATAAACAAAAATAAACCAACGAGATAGCCATCGGACAATTCAGTACAGAAATCCGCAAATAACCAGTGCTAATTACATAAAACGTTCATAGCAAATTATATAGAGACAAAAAAAAAAGACCCAAAAATGGTAGAATTCAATGATTACCATTTCCATTGCATGTTTAGCCACCCAGGAAGAAAAAAGTGAACCAAAAGGCTCAAAAAAAAAAAAAAAAAAATGGAAGACAACCACAATAAAGAAGAAATGCAGCAACACAGAGAAGCAAAAAATCAAATATAAAACAGAGAATCTGCGTAAACCCAAATTCGAAACCCTACAGCGATCATCTCTAGGAAAATAAATAAATAAATAAATAAATAAACAACAATAACGTAGAATTGATCAACAATGGCGTTGAGATCTCAGAGACAAATTACCAGGGAATGAATTTCCTCCAAATTGATCGTCAAAGTCGCCAGCCCGCATTGACGAGTCAACTCTAAAGGTTTTCAGCTGCGAAGCCCAAATGACTTTTGTATATGATGATATATCTCATTCTCTGCGCGTTCGTGAGGAAAAATTTTTGGGCGCTTTATGAAACGGGTCGGGTTTCACACAAACCGGTCCTAATAAAATGTATTTTGGGCCGTATAGGCTCAAAGAGGAATATCTACTCCATACCAAACATTATTATTTATATGGGTAAATTGCGCCAAATCCCCCTATATTATACGAAATCTGCGCGTTATCCCCCTATATTTTAAAAATTGCGCCATACCCCCTTCTATTATACTTCTGATTGCGCGTTATCCCCTAAACCGTCTAACTTGACGAATGTGCATTTCACGCGCGTGTGGTGCGGCTTTTTCTCCATTTTTTCGCCATAAACTGAAGGAAATGACTATTTTGCCCCTTAATAGATGAATTAAATTGAACTCCTCTTTCACTGAGGGTTTTCTTCAAATCAAATCGTTCGCTGAGGAGCTCTTCCAATTTTTTTTTCTTCAAATCGCAAGGCTGTGAGGTAAGCTTTCGCAATCCAAATCGCTTTGAGGTAAGCTTTTGCAATACAAACCTCAGAAATCCAAACCTTAATTTTGTGCATTTTCGAAATTGAAATTATGGTTTCAAATTAGGTCATTTACGAATTGAAATCATTTTTTGAAATTAAGGTTTCAATTTGTTGAGGCTCAGTATAGGTTTGTTGTTTGTGAATTCATTTTACAGAAATCTGGTTTGTTTGTCCCAATTTTTTCGAATTAGGGCATTTTCGAATTAGGGCATTTTTCGAATTAGGGTATTTTTTGAATTAGGGCATTTTTTGAATTAGGGCATTTTCGAATTAGGGCATTTTTTGAATTAGGGCATTTTCTGAATTAGGGCATTTTCGAATTACAGAAATCATCTTTGATTTTGCAAATTAGGGCATTTTCGAATTATAATTTAAAATCAATATTGTTTTGTTTGCCCCAATTTTTTTTTTTTTTTT